AAAAAATTAGAACTCGTGACATAAAATGATAGTCCTGACTTGAATTTTTTCTCGAGTCAGGTCAAATGACCTGGGTCGATTCGACCGGCTCAGAGCACTATCTGGGTGAGTTATGGATTAAGTAATGTGTTGAAAAGATTTTTGGAAAGCATTTGATTATTATCAAAAGACTGCTATGCTAATCAAAAATATTTTAATGCACAATTATGTCATATTTAATGTTATATAAATGGAATTGGAACAGAAATTAAGGATTTGAATTATATAACGAGGCACTGAAACAAAAAATTTTGATGTATACAAATTATCATGATAAATTAATAAGTGATTTGAATAAGTTAATTATTGGTACCAAATAGTTGCAATTATGAAATTGTTAACATTGATAAAAATAAGTCATTTGATTTATTTAAAACAGTTGCTGAAGGAGGAATTAGCAATGAGCAAAAATGTCTTATAAATTCATATAAGCATGGTGAAAGAACAGAAAAAATATTAATGATACTATTATTGGTATAAAAAAGCTATAGAGAATAAATGTCAAGAGACTTGGATAATCTTTTAATGCAAAAAAAAAAAAATAATAGTCAAAAATAAAATCAATTGTAATATAAATGAATGTTTATTTAATTTTATTTAAATAAAATTGCAAGATGAATTTTTTTTTTTTACATTTCAATGTATGGCATGATAATCTTCATATAATAATAGTGTTTACTGAAAAAAAAGTTGGCAAGTACAAAACGAAAATCTCAATAAAGTTATTTACTTTGAAGTTCGAAAACTTTTTTTTTTTAAAAAAATATATATATACGCAATCAATAAACATTAATACTTACCTTTCTTGAAAATAGTTTAATTTAAGCACAATATTGGCGGTTTGCTATTATATTCATGTAGATTTTAAATAAAACGATATACTTATATAGAGTTGATACGTGATTGGTCCTTGTTATTACATTTGTGCTCCGGACGTCTCTTATATTTGAAATGCGTATTCTGCCGTAGAACAATAATTTTGTCAATCAATATATAATCATCTCCTGACATATAAAAAAAAATGTCAGACATAAAAGAATTGGTTGACTAGCTAGAAGAAAAATTGATAATGAATATTTCAATTATTATGAATATTCAGAATTCAAGAATATACAACCTATAGGAAATGGTTCGTTTGGAAATGTCATGAGTGTAAATTGGAAAAGTACAGATTGCCTTTTCGCTTTAAAAATTTTTAAAAATGATAAAATTACCATTAATGAAGTTGTAAATGAGGTACCAATTTATAATTTTTCTAAATTATTTATCAGCGAATTTAAATTAATTTTATGTTCAATACTTTTTAGAGCCGATTACATAAGAGAGTTGATATACATCCAAATATTTTACGTTTTTATGGTATTACAAAAGAAGAAACTATTAAGTATTAAAATAAATTAAATTTACATTTTCTTTTTAAATAAATAATTTTTCTTTATTGTAATTATTTTTATATTATACAGGAGATACAAATCATCAAATAAAAAAATACTCTTTAGTTTAAGAATATGACGATAGTGGTACGCTTTATGGTTATTTAACTAAGCATTTTAAGAACCTTGATTGGGATGAAAAATATCAGTTAACTTTGCAACTAGCGAGTGCTGAAGAATGCATTCATGATTTTGACATTGTTCATTGTGATTTGGTTAGTAATTAACTTTGTAAATTGATTATTTTTTATTTTTTAACATTCTTAATAAATGATTCATTTTTTTGTAAAATTATAGCATGCTAAAAATATACTTGTACATCAGAAAACTATTAAATTAGCAAACTTTAGTTTATCAAAGAAAATTGCTGAAGAATCGAGCAATGCATCAAAAATATTTGGTATGATTCCTTATGTTGATCCAAAAGGTTTAAATGAATAAAATCAAAACTACAAATTGAATAAAAAATCTGATGTCTATAGTATTGGAGTCTTGTGTGGCAGATTTCAAGTGGTAAGGAGCCATTTTATATTTAAGGTGGGAATTATGGTATAAAATTAGTTTTGGATATAATAAATGGAAAAAGAGAAGAAATTATTGATGGAACTCTTACTGAATATAGTATTATTTATCAAGGTAAATAATAATATTCTTTTTATTTAAGACAAATTCTAATATTTATTTATTTAATTAGAATGTTGGAAGTATGAGCCAGTTAAGCGTCCAATCATACAAACAGTAGTTTCAAACATTAAAGCAATCATTTCTCTTGAACAATGTGATTTAATTATCAATGATGAAAAAGAAAATGATGTATTTATAAAAGATGAATGCAGTGTAAATAAGGATTTAGTAATTGATTCAATGATTAATTCAATGAATATCGTTAAATCTGAAAGCAGAATAAGTTTAGATAGTCAAGAATCTTTCCAATAAAATGTGCTAGATTCCGAAAACAATCCTTCAAATTCAATTTTTCAAGTTATAAATTTATCAAAGATTCCTTTGAGTCAATATTTATAAATGATATAACTATTAATAAGTTATTTAATTATTTAGTTAATAAGCATGATGAAGGAATTTCTTTCGATCAAATCAAATATCTTATTGAATATCAAATACTGCAATTGAACCAAACTAGAAATAATCTTATCAATTGGCTTGAAAAAAATCAAAATAAACAGCAATTTACTTGGCTGCTCAATTTACTTTATTATATAGATGATAATAGTTTTAAATCATTTGATTTATTTTTAAAAGCAGCAGAAAATTATTCAATTTCACAAGTTTATTTCACTAAATGTTATTACCATGAATATGGAATTGAATGTAATAAAAAGTTATCATTTAATTGGTACCAGAAATCTGTAGAAAATGGAAGCATTATTGGACAATTTATTTAGGACATTGCTTTGAATTTGGTATTGGAACTCAACAAAATAAAAAGAAATCAGTATATTGGTATAATAAAGCAACTAGTAATGGAAACGTCATTGCAAAACTTCATCTTGCAAATTGTTATAGATTAGAAAAGAGAATAGAAAAGGATGAAATTAAAGCATTTAAACTTTATGAATGATTAACTAAACAAGAAATTGTTGACGCTCAATATCAACTTGGAAATTGTTTTTATAATGGATTAGGAGCAAAATGCGACAATGTACAAGCTTGTTATTAGTATGAAAAAGCCGCATATAATAGGCATATGATTGCAAAACATATTCTTGAAAAATATTATAATAAAAAATTAAATCTTAATAAAAATAAAGGAAAGGATGCTAAGTTTTATAATATATTATATTCTGAAGGATTAAGGCGAATTGGAATCAATAATTATAATGGAATTGGAATAATACAAAACTATGAAAAAGCATTTAATTATTTTCAAAAAGCTGCAAAACGGGGAAATAGAATTGCACAATGTAATTTAGGTGTTTGTTATATCTATAGAAATGGTATTGAAAAAAATAAGTTAAAAGCTTTTGAATTTTTTAAAAAGTCAGCTGAACAAGGATATAAAGATGCTCAATTTTGGCTTGGATATTATTATGATAAAGAATATGGAATCAAATTTAATAAAGAAAAAGCATTTGAATTTTATTAAATAGCAGCTAAAAAGAATATAATATAGCCCAAAATAATCTTGGTTATTTATATAATTATGGTAAAAGAATTTAGAAAAAGCCTTTTATTGGTTTCAAAAAGTAGCTGAAAATGGAAACAATTCTGCACAAAATAATCTTGGTTATTTATATAAAATAGGTGAAGGAACTGAAAAGAATTTAGAAAAAGCCTTTTACTGGTATCAAAAAGCTGCTGGAAATGGAAATAATATTGCACAAGTTAATTTTGGTTTTTTATATAAAAATGGTGAAGAAACTGAAAAGAATTTAGAAAAAACCTTTTATTGGTTTCAAAAAGCTACTGAAAATGGAAATAATAATAATACACAAGCTTGGCTTGGACATTTATATAAAAATGGTGAAGGTACTGAAAAGAATTTAGAAAAAGCCTTTTATTGGTATCAAAAAGCTGCTGAAAATAGAAATAATATTGCACAAGGTAATTTTGGTTATTTATATAATTATAGTGAAGGAACTGAAAAGAATTTAGAAAAAGCCTTTTATTGGTATCAAAAAGCAGCTGAAAATGAAAATAAGGTTGGACTGTATAATTTGGGTAAATGTTATGAATTTGGTAACAGAGTTGAAAAAGATATGCTGAAAGCTTTTGATTATTATCAAAAGTCTGCTAATCAAGAATATTTAAATGCAATATTTTGTTTTGAATTTTGTTACATAAATGGAATTGAAACAGAAATTAACAAAGAGAAAGGATTTGAATTATATAATGAGGCAGTTAGAACAAAACATTTTGATGTACATAAATTATCATATGATAATTTAATGAGTAATTTAGAAAAAATAAATTATTGGTATCATAAAACTGCAAATGATGATAATAAAGTTGCATTATACAATTTAGGTGAAATTTATGAAACAGAAAAATGTATTTGTGAAAATCTTACTAGAGCATTTGAATTTTTTAAGAAATCGGCTAATAAAGGATATTCAGAGGCTTAATATAAAGTATTATAAGCGTGGAATTGTAATTGATATTGATAAAAAAAAAGCATTAAATTATTATAAAACAGCTTCTGAAGGAGGAAATGGTAATGCGAAAAAGCGTCTTACAAATTTGCAAGAACAAGGTGAAGGAACAGAACTAAATATTAATGATGCTATACGAAATCTAGTTAAAGTTTAGATCATTTTTTAAAATATCAACATTAAATTATTGTAAAATAGACATACGATAGTATTAATTTAAATTCTAATTATACTCAATTTATTATTACTTAATGTTACTTTTAAAAAAAATAAATTAAAATATCGTTAATATTACAACTTATGACAAATAAATAAAATTATAATTTAAAAATTGATAATATTCATTTTTTAAAGCTAACAACTACAAATGACTATGGGAAAGACTACTTTTAAGCTTGTTTGATTTTAATACTTCCAATTAAACGACCCTTAAGTCTAATATTAAAGAATGCCTTTTCAATGATTCTCTGACGGTCAATTGATCATTATCTATATCTTCTTGAAAAGGTGGAGTACCAGGATGATTGATTTTACCTCTTACCTGATCCCTAAAGATATCAGTAAGATCTAATTCAAGACCACCTTTGGCACCTAAAATCAATTCATAATCATCGACGCTTTTACTTATGAATCCTTCATTAAATTATCCAGTAATTCAAAATTTATCGCCTATATCCGTAAATGTAACGTGACCTACGACCTTATTTTTTCCACCTTTTTTGAAAACAATAACAGCGTTATCATGTTTACTCAATTAATAAAATAGAAATTTTCTAGAAATATTCTGAATACACTTGAAAATAATCTGATTTTATATTCAGTTTGAAAATGCTCAGATTATGCTTTGAAATTTTCAAAATTTTATTTTGAAATCTAATAATAAAACCTGGATAATACCTAAATTCTAAATTTTTTTTAAAGAATAGAATGAATATCATCTAAATGTAACCCGATTTTCTCTATCAATTATAATATGATTGTTTGCTGCTACTTCAAGGAATCCTACATATTGATCAATGGCAGTTACATTGATAACACTTGTTTCACCAATGTTATGAAAATATTGTATATTGTTGCCTAATATTTCTGGTCTTCGTATCCACTGTACAAAAGCAAGCATTGATAACTTATTGTTAAATTCATGTACAAAATAGTATAAAACTTGACTATAAAACTCGCGTTCTTCAAAGTCATAATGTGCTTTTGGTAGGTGTGCATTTTTGTCAACTAAAAGCTTTGCAGCAATTGAATAGTTATTGCGAGTAACATCACCTTTACGGTTAACTAGCTTTGAGTTAATTAGTACTTCAGATTTAGTTCTCAGCTTGCCATATTTTTGAATATGTTCAATAATTTCACCTACTTCATTCATCATTAAATCTAATGTAGTGTCATAGTGTTGCTTAACTTTTCGAACATCTGTCTTTATCATATTATACTTTTGAGATGGTGAATGTAATTCCTCTTCAGTTGCTGAAAATCTAAAAGCATGTTCCAGAGGTAGAATTTTAGTTTCTTTTTGAAAAGCACTAAAGATTTTCTGATTATATTTAGGATTGTATTGCAAGTGTGCAAATTGTATTCACATGGTTATTTGATTTATGAGATTTGTATATAGATGCTGCCTGGAATGAACTAAAGGTATTAACATCCCACATAGTCTTTCAATTAGGAATTGCCATGTTAACCATGGCGGACCTGTTTCTTGAATTGATTTCATTATATATAAAAGGTAATGAAAGCTGATAAGAGTTGCTGGTAATCTATCAGAATCTCTTTGATAATATTCATTTTCATAGTGATGAACAAATCCAACAAAATGTGTTTGGATTTCTTCAAGTTCTTGTTTAAAAATAACTGGTTCAAGGCAAAGTTGAGTTGCTTTAACAAATTTTGCCCACCCATTTATATATCTCTCAGGTAAATAGTCATGAAGAAGTGGAATTAAATATAAAACTATCTAATTATACCAATCTTCTGCTTTAAAAGTAGAGTGATATTTTTGGATATTAATAAGATGCCTTCCAAATTTCTTTGACATCATTTTTTGATTTTGTTCAATTGTCTTTGTAATTTTATTCCAATTATCTGATGAAATCTTATAATCAATATTATTAAACATTTCATTATTAAAGAATTTACCACTAAAATGATGAAACATATGTAGAGCTACATTTTCAAAAAGTGCATGCATAATATCTATTGGAAATGATGCAGAAAAATCAATTGAACGCAACTCTAATAAGATACTACGCCTATTTATACCTTATTCACATTGTATTCTAGTTCTTGCTCCTCCAATTTCATTTTCTATTGCTTCAATGTCTTGAAGATAGTTAATATGAATACGCATTGGTAAATTCTCTGGGTTATAATTAGTTCTGTCATATTCTTGTGACTGTTAAAGTGGAAAATATATATGTTGAGCTATATTAGAATATACTCCATTTATATAGCAAAAACTACATCCACTTCGAGCATTATGACCTAAGAGACACATGGCTTTGGATAAAGCAGGAATGTCACCTGACCATGACAGAATATGGCTTTGTAATGTAAATGTTTCTTGTGATACTGCATCATAACATGTCACACTGGCTGAAAAATTTATTATTATAAATGAATTAATTTTTTATCATCAATTAAAAAAAAAACAAAAATTACTGTATATATCACCTTCAAGTTGCTTTACTCATCTATTAGTGGCTGTAAAAAACTATTAAAGACTTTTGGAGATTTTGGTCCTGGAATTACTGCAGTAATCATTAAGTTTTCTTTCTTTACCCTATAAGATGGTGGAAGATTTGCATTTAAAAGTAAAACAATCCAGTAGTCATTTCGCTTCTGCTTAAATAACTGGTAGCCATCTGTTGATGCAATTAAAGCAACATCTCGATAATCAGAAAATAAGCCAAATGCAACCAGAGACTTATATCGATTGCCATCAATCACATCTCCAATTTTATCATTATTAGATATGTATTCTTCACTTGATGTATATTCATGCTGATATTGAAGAATCATAGCTCGAGATGGATCTTTGTACTGTATTCTTAAACTATCAATTACAGAAAAGTATGCAGCAGACTTTCAGGGTTGTTTTGGTACTCTTCTAGGTATATACAGTGGCTCTCCACATATAGAGCATATATTACAATCTACATTCTTTCCAATATACGCACAGCACGAATTCCAACACATGTCTACAAGTTTTGGTTTAATTGGAATGATGTTTTCTAAGTTTTTTCGAAGTTTAAAAAGAGAAACATCTAATAGACCAAAAATTATCATGATCTCATTAAATACTTTGTTTGAAAGTGTAATCTTTTCCTTAATATAAAGTAGCTGAAGTCCTTTTATTAAATTGTCCAATAAATCTAATAGTATTTAGGTTAGTACTGGATTTATAATGACAAATATAACTAATAAACCAAAGATTTACTTACTAAATTCTTTCAGAGCTAATTCATTATTATCATCTTTCTTGTCACTATCACATTCTTCATCATTATCATCTTCATCCTTATCATATTCTTTATCATTATGATATTCTTCATGACTATCATATTCTCCTTCATTAACATATTCTTCCTCACTATCATAATCATATTCTCTTTCGTCTCCATCATCATTTTCGTTAGTATCATATTCTTCTTCATTATTACCATCGCCATCACTTGTGTTATTATCATCAAGCAAAATAATATCTTTATTTATTGTTTCATATTAGTTATTATCACTAATATTGGTTGATTCTGAGCTACTGGCAGCTATTGTATCCTCATAATCATCATTATTTGTCACATCATAATATAAAATATCTTCTTCCATCATTTCTGAGCGAACATATTGATTAACATTTTTACCAATATCTGTTGATTCTATTCGTGTTATATTACCATTATATGAAGCTGATATATCATGATTATTAAATGTTTTTTCTCTTCTTCGATGTCTTGTTCAAGTGGCAGTACTCATATATTTGCCAGATTACTACTTTCATGTTAGCAAAGTATACAAATACACAAAATACTTCTTCTTGCCGTTATTATTATTAATTCATAAAAAGAATATTAATTAGGATTGAAGATCAACTTGCAACATGTATTTTTAAAAATTTGTTTTAAGATTAATTTTAAATGGTGCAGAAACAAGAATTATTATGATCACGAATAAAATAATCTTATAATAATAGCAAAATAAAATTTATATTTTTTTCTTCAAATAAAAAAAGGCGTCATTAACCTCCTACGTATATATATTTACTTTTTTGCACTATCCCTATATATATTAACTATAATGAAAATAATAATAAATACTGATGAAACTAAAAAAACTAACTAAATAATAATCGCCGATTACTAGAGTACATAAGGTTGACAATTGTTTTTTATTTTTTCTTTTTACGCCTCTTTTTAATATTTTATTTAAAAATACTTGAAAGTTACAATAACATAAATTAAAAAGAGTAAGTATTATTATTAGTGCTCCGTAAGGGTCAGGTCGGGTTGGGTTTGAAGCAAACTCAAACTTGAACCCATTAATATTTACAGGATCCAAATTCGACTCGACCCGATTGTTGTTCGATCCAATCTGATTATTGTTCAACTCGTATTCGACTCAAATTTAAAATTTTAAGGTAATATTCATACCGAAAGTAAGAAAATTTTTTTATTTATGAATATAATGAAAAATGTGTATTAAATTTAAAATTTTTTTATTTTTAAAGTTCTTTGGTTATACATTAATTCAAATTTAGATTTTTTAAATATATTATTGGCTTCAGGAATTCAAACACATACATGGCAAATTTATCAGCTTTAAGTCTAAAATCATTCAACAGGAACACTCATTGTTTATTAAAATAATTTCATTTCTATTTGTATGATTACATTCTAATTAACGACATAATTTTGTTGTATTTGAATCACCAATATTGCGGAACCATGTTTTATGTCCACTAATATTTTTGAAAAAAAAAATATAACCGATAATATACTCTATTTAAAATGATATTAGCATCTAACTTCTCGATGTGTTTTTGAATTTATATTCAGGTGGAAGAAG